GGGGGAGTTTGCACAGGGGTGCCCAGCACACCCCTGGGGGCTCAGGGGGGTTCATCCTAAGCCAGCCCTTGGGGGCTCCAGGGGTAGCTCCGGGCAGCCCACGGGCTGTCTGAGGGGTGTCCTGGGGCAGTGATTGCAGGGATTGAGGGGGATCTTGGACCAGTCTTGGAGGGTGCGCTGCTGGGGTCTGAGGCTGGCCACCTGTAGCCTCTTCTCTGAGAGCTCCCTGACCCGGGTGTGGGGTGAGACAGGGATCACGGAGCAGGCTGGACATCTGGGTGGACCCTAGAGCTTTCTGACCATCCAGACCCCGTGTGTTCCCCACAACAGGGGCAAAGGGGGCTAGGCCTGTGGAGGCAGCGATCCCACGGTGCAGGGCTGGCCATGTCACCCCCCGCTACCTCCCAGCCTTCTTCTGCCTGAATGGAGCTGCACAATTCGCCCTTGTCCCCAGCGGGTCGAAGTAGGTCAGGGAGGCTGGGCAGAGCCCCCGGGGAAGGGAGCGGGGGGCAGAGGGGTGCAGAGGGCCCCAGACACCCGCCCTGGTAGCTGCACCACTGGGTTGGTGCCCGTCCCCTGTCCTGCTGAGACCCTGATGTCCCCAGCCCAGGGGATGCGGGGCGTTTATCCCAGCCCCTCTCCAGTGCCCTGGGCTGGTTCGGGATCCCTCTGCGTCCCCGCAGGCACCGCGTTCCTCCTGGAAGCTGAAGTCCGATGAATGCAGGCTGGAGTGGCTGCATCCTCGGGGACAGCACCCAGTGTGGGAACCCGCGGGGCTGGGGGTGGGGAGCAGGTGTGGGGCTGGGCTAGGCGGGAGCTGGAGGCTGAGCACTAAGAATGAGGAGGAAGGGATTTCTCACCCCTTAATTGCGGTTAATAATTGATGAACGTGTTTACTGTAGGAGGCAAAGTTCTCTGGCGGTGTCAGTGTGCGAGCGCAGAGCAGCGCGCCCAGCAGCATCCCCAGCGAGGCGGCAGGTAAGGGACGTTGCCCCCCCCCGGCTCCCACGGGCACCCGAGACCATCGTGGGGGAAGGCAGGGGTGTCTGCTGGCTGTGGGACTGCCCACGGGCAGTGGCACCACGGTGGTGTCATGGATTGCTCCTGAGCTTCTAGTGCTGCTTGTGATGGCCCCTTTGAGCCCAAGTAATGGAGCCTCCAGCCATGCCCAGGAGAGGCTTCTGGGGTTCTCAAGCACCCCCCTAGCCTCCAGCACCTGGAGGCCAACCCTGTTCCCCTGTGCCGTGTCCCAGATGATCCTGTGCCTGGGGATGAGGGATGGAGTCTGGTGCTCGCTTGTAGGGCTGGCTCAGTGGAGGGACATGTCCCCACCACAGCTCCTCCTGTCTCAGTGGCTGCTCCGCAGGAGGGATTTAGGGTGTCTAGAGGCAGCAGATGGCCACAAGCTCCAAGACACTGGTTCTCTGTTGTGTACCCGCAGGCTCGCTGGCAGGATGGCATGGTGCTCGCTGGTGTTGCTTCCCTTCCTCCTGACAGCAGGTGAGGACTTTGCTCAGCACCTGACACGGGTGGGTGGGAGGTGTTGGAAGTGCTTTCAGCCCCTAACACTTGTTCCAAATTTCCTGAGGGCAGTTGGGACCCCCAAAACTGCTGCCCACCCCGTTGGCACCTTGGTGCCCCAGGGCAAGGCAGAGAGGGCTCAGCACACCTCCTCCTTGTAGTTTCAGGCAACACAGCCCCCTTCTTCAATCTGACCTTCGTCTATGTGCCTGAGGACCTGCAGCTGGGTGAGTGGGGCAGTCTCGGGAGGCTCTGGGGTGCAGGAGGAGCAACCAGGGGGTCCTTGGGCAGGAGCTGAAACTGCTTGTTCCCTCAGGCCAGCATGCTTTCCAGCTGAATGCTACTGATGTAGATGGGGACACGCTCACCTACAGCATCAGCGAGGAGCATGCTTTCTACTTCTCTGTTGATCGCTGGACAGGCAATGTGACACTGAGGAGCTCCCTGGACCGTGAGGTGAGGGCAGAGACAGGAGCAGATGTGCCTGCCAGAGCTGGGGAGTCTGAGGTGACAAGGTCACAGGGCAGAGCCATGAGTCCTGTGGGAGAGCTGTTCATAGCAGCACCATGGGTCGCTCTGTGGCCCCAAAGCCCAGGTGGGAGACCTGTCTGAGAGGAACATCCCACCCAGGGGTGGTGGGTTGGAGGGTATTTGGGCTCCAAGGATCAAGCTCCACCTGGACCTGACCAAGTCCTGCCTTGTGTCCCCACAGCTCCAGGCCAAGCTCGCCATCACCGTTCACGTGTATGATGGGATAAATGAACCAGTGAGTGCTGGGGCAAGGGCTGGGTGGCTGCAGCAGGTGATGGGGACAGGGAGGGGAGCAGGGTCTCACCAGGGCTGTGGATGAAGCTCAGTGGGGAAGGGACTGGAGGTGGGCAGAGGCAGGGGATGCTGTCTGTGGAGCTGGGGGGCATGAGGTGCCAGAGCTGCACCCTGTTTTGCCTGGTACCATCTCCTGCACCCACCCTGTGCTGTCCTTGCCACCTTGTAGATCTCCAGAAAAGTCACAATCATCGTGGAGGACCGTAACGACAATGCCCCAGTCTTCCAGAAACTGCCATATGAAGTGTCCATCCCTGAGGTACCTCCATGGGACGACCTGGCTGTGCCAGGCAGCAGGGCATGGCTCTGGGAGGATCCAGTGTCATGGGTGCAACAGCAGTGGGACAATAATGCATTAAAATGGGATGATCCACACCCAGGCGTGTGGTGACAGTGTGCCTGGGTGTGGGGCAGTCGTGCCGCCAGCACGGCTGAGCTGGGAGTGCTCGGGGCAGCTCCCAGCAGGCACACTGTGTCATGTTGGGGTGCATGGCTGGGACTCTGCCCTTGAGATCAGCTTCTGATCAGGGAGTGCTCGAGCTGCTGCTCAGTCCGGGACAGGGCGAGGCTGGATCAGGGTGCAAACAGGGCGTGAGGATGAGCCCGACTCTGCTCTGGCAGCCCCAGGGGAGGGTGGCATGGGGAACCAGCCTCTGCCTGCGATGAGCAAGGGCAGCAGCTCCTCCTTGCATGGCCCATTGCACTGGCCAGCCCCTGGAGCCCTGTAGGGTGAGAGCACACCAGAGCAGGGCTGGCAGGGGCTGGACACCCCTGCTCTCCCAGACAATGCCCCCAGCAACCCCCTGTGTGCCCAGAACGCGACACTCGGCAGCATCATCTACACCGTGTTTGCCAATGACAGTGACACTGGGAATGCCTCTAAAGTCAGCTACAGCATCGAGGAGGTGAGTAGAGTGCACTGGGGAGCAGGGTGTGCCATACCCAAAACCCACCCCTGAGCCATCCCCCTGGGGCAGAGGCACTTGGGGACCTGACTGGGGGCAGCCCCACAGCCCTGGGGGGCCAGGGGTATGTGTCACGTCAGAAGGGCTGGGTCTGCACTCACTGGGCCATAGGTACAAGGTGCCAATCAGCTGGGGATGAACCAGGTGGTGAGGAAGTCCCCATGGCTCGAGGGCCAAGCCTGGCAGAAGGATGGTGTTTGAGCTCCCATCTCTGCTGGGGCACTTCTGCTCCCTGCCTTGGTGACACAGGATGATGTCCCCTGCCCAGGTGATCCCAGATGACACGAAGAATCACTGGCTTTTCTACATCCTGCCCAACGGGAGTGTGGTGCTCAACGGCTCGCTGAACTATACCAAGAACACCTTCTATCAGATCAAGATCCTTGCCAAGGTGGGGGCCAGCCATGTCGGGGATGCAGGGCTGCCAGGTAAGGGTGCCATGAGACTAATGGGCGTTCTGCTCCCCAGGACGGCGGAGGGATACTGCATAATGAGTTGGTATTCCAGCAGAGCTTTACCTACATGTCCCTGACCATCATTGACCTGCCCAACCTGGACCCACGGTTCCTCAGTGAGACCTACTCTGGCTCTGTGCCTGAGAACTGTGCCCTGGTAAGGAGCCCACCTGTCCCTCTCCCTGGTGACCCGGGGTGTCTGGGCCACTGGGCATGGGGGCAGCTGGAGATATCATGGGTCCTGCCCTGGTGGCCATGTCCCTGCAGGGCACCACTGTGCTGACTGTCACCGCCGTGGACAGAGACACAGGGGTGAATGACAGAATCTTCTACAACATAACCAGTGAGTGATGGGGCAGTGCAGGATGGGCAGGCAGTAAGCAGGGGCATGGTGGGACAGGCAGAAGCATGACCAGACAGCAAGGGGCACCATGGAAACTGGTTTGGGGCTCTCAGGCTCTGCCAGCCTATCCTGCTGGCAGAGAGGGCCAGGCCTCCATCTAACAATGGCTACAGTTGGTTCCTGCTGTCCCCTTACCCTAGACACCAGCATCCCCTTTGCTATCGATACCATCACGGGCACCATCAGTGTGAGTAGCCCCCTGGACCGTGAGCAGCTGCCAAGCGAGGAAGTGCTGCTGGAAGTCACAGTGAGTAGGAGGAACAAGGGAAATCCCATCCTCTTCCTCTCCCAAGGTCCCTCTAACCTGCTTTCTCCTCCTGCGCAGGCACGTGAGGAGAAGCTGGACATAAACAACAAAGTGGCACAGACCAGCACCCTGGTGACAATCGTGGTGACCGATGTCAATGACAACAAGCCCCAGTTCTACAACTGCTCCCTTCCCAACTGCAACTTCTCCACCAGTGCCCAGAACAACTTCAGTGGCAACATCATAGAGCACTCCTCCTCCAGACTGCCTGTGTCCAACCTCAGCATCGTCGCCCATGACCCTGACAAGGTGAGATCTTGTCCAGGGAGCCAGGCTGGGGTGCAGATGCCTGTCTTGGCTGCTCCACCATCCTCACTCCTGTGCATCTCTCCCTGGCAGGGCATCAACAGCAGCTATGAGCTGTACCTGCAGGGTCCAAATGCCAACTCCTTCACTGTCTTCCCCTCAAAAATTGTGGGCACAGGGGAGGTCGAGCTCCTGGTACAAGACCCAGCTTCTGTGGACTACGAGCTAAGCCATGTCATGGTGGTGCAGGTTCGATGTGGGGACAGTCCTGGCTTCTTGCATATGCTGGGGCACAGGGGGAACACAGCCCTTCTCGTGCAGGGTTCAAAAGCCAAAACAGAATGTGGATCTGCCCTGGCAGCTCGTTTGGTTCCAAGGAGCTGGGCTGGAAAGTGACACATCTCATGCCTGGGGACACATGGGAGACACTGTCCCTTCTGCATCCTACAGATCATTGCTAATGACACGGGGAACCCTAAGAACTGCTGCTCCATGGCCACCGTGACCATCAATCTCATTGATAGCAATGACCACATCCCTGAGTTCCCCCAGAGCACCTACAACCTGAGAGTGGAGGAGAACAGCCCTGATGGCACCATCATCACCCCAAACATCACGGTCAGGTGCTGGGCAAGGAGCGGGCACAGCTTAACGTCCCCCAAGCAGGGTGCTGGGTACACCTCACACTGCTGGTGCTTGAGGGCACTGGTCTCTCTGTGCACATGGAAGGAGGCAGTGTCAGCAGGCACACAGGGTGTGGGGACACGTGCCCATCAGGGCCATGTTTTCTGGGATGCTCATGGCCAGCAGCTGGTGTCAGAGACTCATCACTGCCCTGGGGGCTGAGGTGGATTGGCTGGATGCTTCTTTCTCTCTGTTTTAGGCCTATGACCCGGACAGTGGTCTCCTGGGCCAGATCACCTACCAGCTGCTCCCGGAGAGCATGTACGTAGGGGCAGGGCCAGTCATGACCAGGACATTGTCCTGGCAAGGGGGGTCCAGGCCTGAGCACTGGTGACAGCTCCTTGTGTGCCATAGCCGTAATATCTTCACGGTGAATGCCATGACCGGGGCCGTGCTGGTGCAGAATGGGAGCTGGCTGGACCGGGAGACTCGCTCCATCTACTATGCCAACCTCCTGGCCAGCGATGGGGGCAACCTGACAGGGACCACTGTGCTGGAGATCACCGTGCTGGACGTCAATGACAATGCGCCCATCATCACCGGCTCCTACTTCATCTCAGTTGAAGAGGGGAACAACGTGACAACACAGATCCAGGTTTGCATCACTGGAGGTTGGAGAGGAGCAAGGACTGTCCTCAAGGTGCTGGACAGCCCTGTTCCAATACCTGATTCTCTCAGGCCATCGACAATGATGAGCCTGGCAGCCCCAACAGCGAGTTGGGCTTCAAGATATTGCCAGGACCATTCAGCAACAACTTCACCATCAACGCCGCAACGGGTGAGATGCAAAGCAAGGAGCCGCTGGACCGGGAGGCCTTGGAAGATGAGCAGGGGCAGATGGTGGTGACGGTGGAGGTGTATGACCATGGTGTGCCACAGCTCAAAACCTCAGTGAATGTCACCATCACCGTTGGGGTGAGCCCTGGGCACAAGTATGGATGCACTGGAGCAGGCAGAGGCTGCCAGGGCCTGTAAGGGCAGGGAGGGGATGTGGGATCCCTGGCCATGGCAGGGATTCCATGCCCCCAGATTCTCTGTGGGGACAGATGCAATAGTAGATGCAGTGAGGCAGGAGAAAGCTTGTGTGCCTCTGGCCTGGTGGCAGGCACGTGTCCATGCTCCTGTCCACAGCCTGCTGTGGAGAACCTTGTTTCCTGAAGCAGCTTGGACTTTATCTCCTACAGGATGTGAACGACAATGCACCTGTGTTCCTCAACCAATCCTATGAGTTCTCAGTCTTTGAAGACTCTCCAGGTAAAATCTATGTGTCCAGGCTCATGGGTCCAGCAGTGTCCCAGGGCCACTGGGCACTGAGTGTCTGTCTTCACCTGCAGGTGCTTCTGTGGGTATGGTTCAGGCCACAGATGCTGACCGGACAGAGATCAATTCCCGCATTTCCTTCCTACTTCGGGGCACTGGCTCCAGCAACTTCTTGATCCGCTCGTCTCAGCTGAAGCCAGGGCACTACAGCGGGCAGCTGACTGTGGACCCTGATATATCCTTGGACTATGACACCCTGCAGCAGAAGTTCTTCTCCTTGCTGGTGCTGGCGGAGAACACGGCAGCAGACAAAGTGGGGGACACTGCCACCGCCTCAGTGATGGTCCACATCCTAGATGTCAATGACGAGCCCCCCACGGTCCTGCCGTCCTCGCTGCAGGACGTGCACGTGAGCGAGAACGGCACACAGCTGGGCCTGGTCCATGTGGTGAAAGCCTTCGACCTAGACACCAACAACTCACTGGTGTTTGAGGAGCTGGATGTCACCTGCTTCAAGGGGACAATCAGTGCTGGGGAGGTGTGCTGGGACTGGTTTCTGCTGGCACCCAATGGCTCCGTGCTGGTCAACAGCTCAGAGGTTGACTATGAGCTGTGTGACAGGGTGATGCTCACCCTGCGGGTTGAAGACTTGTACACTGAGAAGGGCAACCGCTACAGCCAGAACGGTACAGCACCCACTCCCTGCTCCTTCCACCACCACTTGGCGTGGTGGGCTCTGGGACTTGCCTCTCTCACCTCCCAGGAGGAGCTGTGGAGAGCAGGGTGGGAGTTGGGCAATTTGGAAATGAAGGAAGGGTGTCCCCAGCTCTTTTTGTCCCTGCTGCGGGGACCTGAACCTGGAGGGAGGATGGGGGGAAGCAGAGCAGGGTGCTGCAGGGCTGCTCAGTTGGTGACTGGAGCTCTGCTTATGGGACATTTGCAGAAACTCTGAGGATTCTCATCACCGATGTGAATGACAATGCACCAGTCTTCCTGCCCATCTTGGAGACCTTTGGTGAGCAGATGGGGCTGGTGCATCCTGTGCCCTCCTCTCTGCACCTTTACATGCTCTGCCATACTCCCTGGTGGTGGGGAATGTCCCCAGACCAGGGCAGGGCTGTGAGAGATGCAGGGGCCAGGCCATGAGGCCAAGGGCAGCACAGGGATGCTCAGAGCCCCACTGAGTGCCAGGGCTGTGCAGAACATGGGGTCTGCAGCAAGCCTGGCTGCACACAAGCATGACCACCCTATCTGTCTGTCCCTGGCAGTGGTTGTCCCTGAAATCTCTCCTGTGGACCTGCAAGTGGCTGTTGTGAAGGTGGGGAGCCAGGGTGAGGAGCATCCAGTCTATGGAGCCAGGCTCGCTTGTCCCTGCTGTGGGCAGGCGGGGGGG